TGATGTGTTTAACACTGAGAGACCCTCAGGACACCTAGCAAGCGCTCAACATACGACTTGTCTTTTCCTTTTTCCAGCTCACTGTTCAGATGGTACGAGATGTTTAACTCCGCGCACAGAATTAATGGAGCATGAAATGTAGGCCTGAAGTGCAGCAGGCTCCTAACCTGCAGGTGACATTGTCTACATGAAGCTCTTATTGTGACCTAAGTGAGCTGTATTATAACCGCCTTTGACTGGTGACAATTAGTGACCTTTTGCCTTTCCAGCAGCCATCCATTTCAATTACACCAACCTGGAGAGCTTTAGTGGGCGAGCAAGAAGAGAAACTGGAGCCAGTGTGGCTTTACTGTACCTCTTTAGCAGTGTGGAGACTTCATCTTAAAAGACATTAATGTAATTCAGCACACTGTTATCTTATGTGTGATATGAGTGGCGTTTTTTGTAATAAGAATGGTTACAATGTTGAGCTCTTATTTTCTGTAATATGTTTGGAAGGTGGTACACATTCAGAGCAAATGATCTTCCCTATAAAATGTCAGATGATGAGTATTTCCTTTTTCCATCAGTGGCTATGACTGAAACACAAATGAATGAGTTTGAAGCACGGACTTTATTTATGAAGGTTTGAAGTAGAATTTGCAAACCAGGCTTTGATTGCTAAAGTGGAGATGCTGCACTTTTGCTAAAGCAATCTTACTTTGCCCGGTTTTTACCACCATAACTATTCTCAGAAATGTGTTTTTTCCTCAATTTGTTCATGTTTTTAATCTTTTCAGGGGGTTGGTGGTTGAGATGTTCGAGATGTGAAACCTTCAAACTCTTAGTGAATCATCCACACATCACAGGAATGTGACGGTTTCTTTTTTACGAGCACCAGCATTACTTCAGCTTCCTTCTGTATCTCCCATCAGCTCCACCTCAGGCCTGCCTGCCTTCACCTCAGCTTACAAACTTGAGAAACCTCAGAAGCAGGAACATTGTAAAACCTCACACACTATCACTTCATCTAACCTTTCTCAAAAATATGCTGCACCCACTGAAATCATGTGCACGGTTTTATTTAACCCCAGCCACTGTAAATATCACATTACAGAGGCTTTGACCAATGCATCTCACAGAGCAAGTGATAGATAGCAACTACATTGCAACAGATGCGTTATGCATGCAGAGAAACATTTAGAAAAGCAGAACTTGTTTAATCTATCACAATCTCTCTAACATACACACACACAAACACCCATAGGCCTACTAGTTTTAACCACATTTTGGGCACTGGCCAGCCAATGTTCACAATCCTATAATAGGGACTCAACATTTGGGAATATTAAATGGGTATCCACAATGTTAACCATTACAAAAAAAGTTGATACTGAGTGACCTTTAGAGTTATTGTTTGTGTCCTCTAATGTTCTCTAAGTCACAAACGCATGTTTGTGTGAAAGATATACTGTAATTAAGAGCGCTTTTTTACATTGTGACTAACGGCTTAGATCAGGGGTGGGGAACCTTTTTCCTCTCAAGGGCCATTTCAATTTTTACAACATCCTCCGAGGGCCGTACAAATGATTGAACTCAACCTCTGCTAAAAAAGAAAAAAAATCACAGCCCATTCATTTCGCCTTTCTTTCCTGCTGTGCAAAGAAAAACCAACTTCTTAATCCAGATAACTTTCTGTTTTATTTTCAAAGTTTTTATGTTATGCTTTGGAGAGAGTGTGTAAAAGGCATAAGGACCAACATTTTTAATATTGAAGTTAAAAGCATCAATCTGTTGCACTTTGAGAGCAAAATTAGGCCCTCAGCATCCATATGAAACAGAACTGTAAACAGATTTCCTTTATATTTTACAAATCACTCCCCTTTTAAACTGTATTCTTGTTTATTAATACACTTTTTTTTACTGTCATATAGTATTTTATATAACTTTTTCATTTATTCTCTTGTTTTTTTATAACTATAATGATCATATAAAGGTGTGCCTCTACCTCACTGAGCTGAGGTTATATCTCTCACAGGCTCCGCCCTCTACTGGACCCTACTACCTTATCATGCAAGCATTCACTTACTGAGATTTCTATAGACGTAGCGGGGTGGGCCTACCTGAATGCAAGCGCATCTCACCGTATAAAAGGAGGCCTCGCCTCCTGACTGTCATCCCTTACGGCCCCTACACACAGCGGCGTGCGTTGCCGCTTCAACGCTTCTGCCCATTCACTTTGAATAGGGTGACGTCACGATTCGCCGAACTGCATTGTGGTCGCAAAGCGTAGCTTCTCTCGCGGTGCTCGCTGCAAAAGTAGAGCAATGTTCTACTTTTGACGCCTCGATGGAGGCGTCAGCCAATCGAATCATATACCAGTACAAGCTCTAGCCAATCAAACCGCATGCTTTTGTGTCTGGGGCGGGAGATTCATGTGATTGGTTGTTGGTCGAGTTTCAGCCCCCCCCGCCGGCAACCCCCCCCGCCGGCAAGCGACAACGCACGCCGCCATGTGTAGGGGCCGTTTCTCTTCAGCGAGCGGAAGTGAAACACTGAGCAAGAGACGTAAAAAGAGAAAGAGAAAGGTGCACCGGACCTGCCCGACATGCCCTGACCTGATCGCGGGGGCTGATCCGCACCGCCTGTGCTTCCAGTGCCTGGGGCAAAACCACGCCGAAGATGGCCTGAACCCGTCGCCGGCCTGCAACGCCTGCTGAATGATCCCTCGGCTAAGCCGCCGACATCACGGTGATCATTTTCGGGTGAGGTTCGGCCCACAGGACGAGCCGGAGGATTAGGACCTCGAGGTGGTGGAGATGGGGGAACAGGGTGACGAGGTGCCATTCATGTTCACCCTCCCAAGGGGCCAGGGGGCCGCGTTCCAGGAGGAGGAGGACGACGAGGACGCTTCGTTGTCCGGCACTTTCGGTTCCGGCGGCCAATAAAGGTTTGAAATGAAATGAAATGAGATCTCCGCAGCCTGAATCGGCACATTGCCTATACTATAAAACAGATACTGGGGCTAGTGCAACCGGGCGATTGGTTCACCACCATCGACCTGAAAGACACGCACTTTCATGTGGAAATTGCTCCAGAGCACCGAAAGTATCTGCGTTTTGCCTTCCAGGGGATAGCCTACGAGTACAACAGATCGAGTGTCGTGGGAGTTCGGCTACTCCCTATCCCCTCGCACGTTCAGCAAATGTGTGGCCACTGCGCTCCAGTCGCTGCGCGTCCATGGCATGAGAGTTTTCTTTTACCTGGGCGACCTGATAGTCATGGCCAGGTCCAGGAAACAGGCAATGTTTTGCACAGCACAATTGATCCTACACCTAACCAAGTTGGGCTTTGCGATCAATTGGAAAAAGAGCAACCCCATACCTCACCAACAGGCGTTGTACTTGGGAGTGGCGCTCGATGCAGGCGCGCTGCGCGCCACCCTGTCAGAGAGCAGACGTGCGTCCCTGCTTCGGGCGGTTCGCAGGCTGCGACGGGGCAACAGTGACAGCTTTAACTGTCATGCAGACTCTGGTCTCATGGCGGCTGCTCACGTTGTGGCAGAGGTGGTTCTCCAGCCTGCGTTTAGATCCAAAGAGGCACAAACGACGTCTGGTGACCATCCCCCCCTCGGTGGAGGGCAACCTCCGGTTCTGGGGGTCCCCGGATCACCTCCGGAGGGGGTCTCCACTGGGACGGGTGACCTCCTACATCACAGTGTTCACAGAGAACAGGATGGGGAGGGACCTGCCTGAAGAGGGCTATAGGTGGGCGCTGGTCTCTAACAAAAACACAGCACAGCAACCTCCTAGAGCAGTAGTGTTGGTCCTCCAGCATTTCAAGCCCCTAATTCAGGGGAGACATCTGGTCATTCAAAGGCATGCGAGAGGTACATCTATCATCCCAGGAGGAGATGGGTTTCCTCTCGGCTGAGATTCAGGCCCTGGTGCAAAAGCGGCAACAGCACCACAGTGTCATATATCAACAGGCAGGGCGGAGTCCGCTCCGCCGCCTTGTTGACCACAGCGGAGAAACTGTGGTTGTGGGCTTCAGAGGTGGTGTTATCTCTGGGAGCCCTCCACATCCCGGGACTGGAGAACAGGGGGGCCGACCTCATGTTGAGGGGGCGGCCCCCTTCCAGGCGAGTGGGTGCTTCACCCGGAGGTGGTGAAGCAGGTCTGGGCCCAGTTCAAGAGAGCAGAGGTGGACCTGTTCGCCAGCCGGGGCAACAGCCACTGTTCCCTGTGGTTCCCCATGGCTCTGAGCGACGACCCGCCCTTGGGGGTGGATGCCATGGCCAAGAAAGCTGCTCTACGCCTTTCCACCGTTGCGTCTCATTCTCCCTGTCCTGGGGAGACTGAGGCGAGAACGTCTGTCAGTCATCCTAGTGGCTCCGGATCGCGTCGGGGCGCCGTGGTACTCAGAGATATGGTGCTGTGTTCAAGGAACCTGTCCTTGGTCAGGAAAAACAGGCAGTCGCGTGTTTAATTCAATTGCGGTCTAGATCTCTTTAAAAAAAATTGCGTGTGTTTATAAATTATAAACGAGGCTGGATGTTCCCCATCCCTGGCTTAGATGGAACAGTATGATATGCTAAACATTAAATGTCATCATGTAGGCTACATGAAGATAGTTTAGATAAGTGAATGCCTCGTTTAAACTGTATATTGATTTGATACTAAAATCTTATGTGTGTAAATGTGTTAAATTGTTAAGAATAAATAATGAAAACAATAAAATGGCATGAAGACATGCATAGGAAGACACAAGAATACATACTGTTCTTTGAGATACTGTATGCAAACTGCATTTTCTGATATTGTATTATATTTATTTAGTTAACCTGCAGTGCTACATGCTTTAACAACTGAAGGGTATATTTATCAATGAACAGCTAATCTACTATGCAGTGCATCAACTTACTGCTGGGGTTCAGGATGTGCAACTTTTTTTATAAAGACATGTGATGTCAGAAAGAAGAGGTGGGATTTGAACACTGCATTGAACATTTTCAAAAGGTATAAAGTCTTGAAGCTCAATTCACAACCACAACACTTAGGAGTAAAAACAGCACAAGTTTGGAACCCTATCTCTTGTTGTAAGTATACAATGCTGATTTTCATCTATAGCTCAGTGGTATTGTTTTCCTCTGCTAATACATCTAGTTTTTCGGCCTATACTAATTTATTCTTTTCTCAAAATGAAAGGTAAGATGGCAGTTGGAAATATCACCCTGAACTCGGCCGAAAACTCTCCAAACGAGAGCAGCTGCGATGTTTTCATCTACCAGAGAGCTGCTGTGGTCCTCTTCCCTATTTTCTACTCTGTGGTTTTCATTGTCAGTGCGTGTGGCAACAGCTTGGTTCTCTACGTGATCTGCCAGAGGAAGCAGAAGTTTAACTCTACGTCAATCTATCTGGTCAACCTTGCACTATCTGACACCCTGTTCACACTGGCGCTGCCCGGCAGAATTATTTACTACATCCGCCATTTTGACTGGCCCTTCGGTGACCTTCTCTGCAGACTGACCACACTACTCTTCTTCGCAAATACGTATGCAGGTAATATTAGTGCTTCTGTTGACAATACACCACTATATAAATTAGTATGATTTTACATATGTCTACATGTATGCAACCATAACATTATGTTCAGGTTCAGATAACTTTATTATTCCATTCTAAACTTTTTGTGTGAAAAATTTTCATTTTCAAGAAAACAGTCAGAGCTCAAGAGGTCAATTATGCTGGCTTCCAACCCTCATACACTCCAAGAATATGAAGTATAAAGATATTGTTGACTAAAAGTATCAAAATGTGAGTGAGTGACCCATTCCAAGATTCAAGGCTTTTATTGTCATTTGTGCATATCTACAGTGTAGTTATGACAACGACAATCGTAGCTCACAGACTCCTCCAACAGTGCAATAAAATGAAATACATGATTTGACCCAAATACATGATCTCTACCCTTGTTTGTAATCTGCAAAAGTGTTCCTTTGTTTTGCCGCTCTGTCAGCATGTGTTAAACTGTATTTTACATCCATTGTTTTTCCACCAGGTATTGGCTTCATGACCTGCATCAGTCTGGATCGATACCTGGCCATGGTGCACCCCCAGCGGCTTCCGTGTCTGCGGAGTGTGAAGGTTGTTCGCAGGGTCTCCTGTCTGGTCTGGGCTCTGGTGTTCCTGGAGGTAGCTCCTCTGATGTTCCGCAGTATGCTTCGCGAGCACCAAGGAAGACAAACCTGTATGGAATACTTCAACTTCGAGGGCTCCCGCTTCACCCCGTACCTCCTGATCCTGGCCTGCACCGTCTCCTTCTGCTGTCCCCTCATCATCATCATGGCCTGCTACGCTAAGATCAACCTGAAGCTACGAGCTGCAGCAAAGCACAACTCTGTAACCAGTCGATCGAAGAGGAATCACAGGGCCAACACCATTATCCTCCTCATCCTCCTCACCTTCATCATATGCTTCAGCCCTTACCACCTCAACGTTATGCAGTTCATGTCTCGAAAGATACACCACCAGGCGACCTGCGAGGAGCTGAGGGCCTTTAAGGTGTCCTTACAGGTAGGAACCGTGGTTGTTAGTTTGATTGAATTCAAATATCAATGTTCCTTTTCATAATCCATCTTCTCCCTGCAGATCACAGTTTCGCTCATGAACTTCAACTGCTGTTTGGACCCAATCATCTACTTCTTTGCCATTAAGACCTACAAGAAGCGAGTGCTAAGCCTGTTTAAGGACTATCTGTATACTTCCGGTGCCTCCACCAAAATGACAGCTGAGAACAGCAGCAGTAACACCTGAGAGAAACCACAGGAGGAATACAACCAGAGCCACAGAGAAGACCTAGTTTAGATGAGCCTATTTTAGTCTCTCACTTTGACTAAGAAGTCTTTATGTGGGTTATTGTGGCAATTGTGCATGTGGAGTAAAGGTGCGATATAATGCAGAAGAAATACAGTTTGCAGGGGAAACAAATACTTGTTAACCATTCTGAATTGTTAAAGGGTTGATCACAGTCATGTATAGTTGAGACAACTGCATTAAATTATGTGTTCTTTATACATATTATTTTTATAACATAATGATATCATCATGTTTATCATTGCCTTTCTTCTTAATATGTGTGTGCCCTTGAGTATTAGTAATGTACAAATGTATTTGTTGTGTACTTTTTCTGATTATGTATGTGTACAGCATGAAAGAAATGTCGTAAACTAGAGAAATAAGCGATGCCCTTTACTCATCTCTGCAGAAAACCTTTTGTGGTGATTAATATAGCACAACGGAAACTCTCACTTCCTTCATGTAGGGAGAAATGAACCAAGTCATGTGGCAAAAAAAATAAAAAAAACAATATAATCTAGTAGTGTGTGTGATTGGTTGTAATGATGAAACTGTGATGTGTGCGATCAAAGTGTGTTTCACATATTCTCCATAGTATATGATATGCAAAATGTTGGTTAGGCCAAAATGAGAACATGTCACATATCTGTCTTTATCCCACATACCCACATCTGAGTTTTGTGTGGGAGTGCGTATAAACTCTTCACCACTTCCTCACCCACATTTCCTGCTCCCCCTCACATGACTCCCCCTCCCCTTTACATTACAGCTGGGTCCCACAAACTGTGTGTGTGTGTGTGTGTCTTAAAAATGTGAGCAGGTGCCTGTTTAAAGTGCAGTGCCGTATTTAAATATAACCTTTAACATTTCCTGTGTTTTTGGAAAATCTGCCCTATGGTTTTACATAGACAGTAATGTGCACAAGTATCCTCATGAGGGAATGTTCAACTAGTCTGAATGATTCCTGATGTGTTTCATTATTGTTGTAAAACACAACAAGATATACAAAATATTCATTAGGGGTCTCTGAAAGTCAGATATTAAGTCAGTAAGAGATCAAATGTGCATTAGAAAAGAAAGGTGTCAGCACTGGGAGAAAGTGACCCGTCTTGTATTGCATTTCCTAATTTCATGTTGTTAATATCAACATATAGGATAGAGCAGTCTTTTGTTTTTGTTGTATTTAATATTCCAGAAACGCTGTAATGAATCAGGAGGAACTAAGCCAGACATTAGCAGTGATTAAATCATCATACTGTAGTTTCCATTACCACTTTTGTTTTGTTTTTTATGGATAGATAAAGAGCTAAAAAGCAGAAGCAATCATACAAGGTTTGACGTAGGGTTGGGTTTTCCACAACTTCACACTAACCTTCAGTTCAAGATATTATGTGATTAAAAAACCTTTTTGCAAATGATTTACAAACTACTTCTTTCATTGCTCTACAGTATTACTGGATATATGTGTCACATTCATATAGTACTTAAACCTGATTCACACCTGATCGCCAAATCAGAAAGGTAGGAATAATGTTTTTAATTTGGGACAGTGCAATATTTCACATTAAAGATGTTCAATTGGACCACACACCCTACCCCATCATGTATAGTAAACCTGCTTGAAAGTAAGACATCTAAGATGTTTTGATATTTGTTCTATATATCTTGTTTGATTTATAGTCACATTTTATTTCAGATGATAGCCTTAGACTTGTATTCTATAGAATCTGTTTGAATGTAATGTTTTAACTGCATTTGAAGCCGGGTAGCCGTAAAATAACGTCAATTAGAATTTAAAAAAAATCTGCAACAATGTAAAGAGTAGTAAATACATTGGTATGATTTACTGAATTAAATCCACAGTACTCAGAGGACAAGTGTAAACCTTTGACCTATAGACCCACTGCTCCTTGAACCCACTGTTTATAAGCTGAACCTCAACATCTGCAGTGCTCTTTCCCTGCCAGAAGAGAGCAGCATTAGTCCAAGAAGAAGGGCCTTGTTTTAGAAAATAACTTTAACAATTTTGTTGACAATTTTGGCCATGTGGTATTTTTCATCAACACAAAAAAATACAATACAAGTCCAATACACAAAATTGTAGTTTGTCTGAAATTTCAAAGACATTTTTGATTTGAACAAGTTCTTGTGGCACAGCAGAAGTAATGGCCTCTTAAGTACGCAAAGTATAAAGCCACAACATGAGCATTACAACACGTCCTCTGCTGTAACAGTCTCTGATCCACATTGGAAAGGTCACTGCAGTCACATGACGCCGATAATTCAGATAAAAACGTTTTTAACAGCGTTTTTAGAACTGTACTACAGCACATTTGATTTCCTATTAAGCTGTGCCCATAGGGCTAAAGTACTCTACCTTTGAAATACTTTTGAAGGTGTTTTGGGTGGTCAAAACAAAGTAGAGTCGTAGAGCCAACAAAACAAAACGTGTCACTGTCCTATTAACTTCACCTTTCTATATGTTGCACGCACATGCTTTATCATTGCCACATGCATCGGTCAAAATGTTGAACAACCTTTGTTGCAGAAGTGAAAACACAGTCAAATACAAATAGTAAGTATTATATAAACAAAGGTTATTTACTCCAATTAGATAGCCAGAAAAACGCAGAAGCACTCCAGTAAATGTGTTAAAGGTGTAACTAACTTTGAGGGGTGAAAACAACCAACAAATATATGTTTTATAGAGGATTCATTGACTGGTACATTTAAATATTATGAATAAAATATCACACTAGTGATGTGAAATGTCATCAGTTGGCCAAGTAATGTGAATTTTGTAACACAACCAATTTTTTTTTTCTGATAAAAAAGAACAGCAACAGCAATTTCCTGTCGAAAAATGTTGCAATCTCATCTCAACCACGTGTTGAACTACAGCCGGGAGGCGTTCTATCACACTGTACACACTTCAACATCATCAGAATGAATGCAAGTGTGCCCCATGTATACAAGCAATGGTGCAGTGTGAACACAGTAGTCTTTAAACGGCATGAAATGTGTTAGACATGTGCTATTTTAAAACATTAAGGGTACTATAACTCCTAATCTTTTTAGGTGTGGAGTCTTCCATTTAGATTGTTAGCTGTTAAAAACACATGAACAGATAACGGTTTATTTCGACAGATACAGCTTCATAGGAAATCCTTTTAGAAGCTTCTGTCTTTTTTAATTATGTGCAGGATGTTCACAACACTGATTCTTATCAAATGCCAGTCTGAGCTTTTCTGAACTATGTTTTTCTGCATTTAATCATAGCCCAAATCATTGCTTCATGTCTCCATTTGAAAGTAAGATCCAAATAAATAAACTAACAGTTAACTTGTAAAAACCACTGTAAAAGTGGCTTTTCTTCTGGGATTCAGTTACATTGTTCTCTATGAATAGCCACGACGGAGCATGGTGTGTGTTGTCTGTCAGCGACGGGTGTGCACGGCCGTCTGATGGCCGGTGAGTCAGACCCACAAGGCTGGGCCATGAGGAAGTTTAACTGCTTCCTCTGCCTCGCCGCCGGACTTGTTTTGAACAAAGGAAGGTTGTGGTCAATACAAACTGAATATGATTCTTGTAGATGGGCAGTGGTGTAAAGTCACTAAGTAGATGTACTCAAGTACTGTACTTAAGTACACCTTTAAGGGACTTACTTGAGTATTTCAACTTTTTCAATCTTCTACTCCACTAGAATTCAGAGGTAGCTCGTGTACTGTTACTCCACTACATCATTTAATAGCTTTCAGATTTGGATTAATGATGTGAAATATAAACATCACTTAAATTAGACTTTAGTTACACCTGGATTAAATTAACAAGCTACCCTTAAGTATACAAAGAAATGAAAACTAGCTGCACCTTTACCAGCTTTGATAAACACACTAACGCGTCAATATTTATAGTCTAAATATATAATACATTATTCTGAGATGGGCCAATCCGAATAATGAGTCATTTTACTTTTGGGACTTAAAGGTGGGGTAGGTAAGTTTGAGAAACCGGCTCGAGATACACTTTTTGTTATATTCCATGGAATGCTCTTAACATCCCGATAGCAATGAATATCTTAAGTGCTTTGACAATAAATACATTAAAAAATGTCATCTGTGGAAGCCGTAGTACTGTAAAAAGCACGACCAATAATTTTAGCCGGCCCGGCTAAAATAACTGGATGGCCTCCCTGCCTGTCAGCCTTCCATCTGTACACACATTTATCTCACTCCCTCATTGGTCATGTGCGCCTTCGTGTGTGTTGGAGGAGGGGCTCTGTAAGGACGTGGCAGATTTGTTCCGGTTGTGTATTTTCAAATTCTAGCGTACTCGAGCCGGTTTCTCAAACTTACCTACCCCACCTTTAAAGTATATTTTGATGCTAATACTTTTGTACTTTTACTTGAGTAACATTTGATTTTAGGACTTTGTAGGACTTCTTGGTTGAAAGCCTGTCTTCAATTATTTTACAACTTTTATTTTTAACATAACATAGTCTTCCTACACTCTGGTACTTCTACTTTTAATTAAGTAAAAAACCTCTGGATATAGATTATTGTATTTAGATCCAGCGGCATTTAACTATGAGCTTAATTATTTACATACCCTATATAGAAGTCAAACCAAAAGTAGTTTTGCTTTTTTGTGTTTTGCACGGTAATATTTTTTCTGTGCAGGTGATATAAAGTGCAAAGCAAAAGGCATGTGATATAACAGAGCAAATCCGTGGTTGAATAAAAAAGCTGTGCCATGGTAGAGAGCGGTACACAGAAGGGCGGGTGTAATTCAAAGATGTGAAACCACAGGATTTCAGTTACAAAGTGTGATTCAAGTGAGCGCTTAGGCTTCTTTTGGGGCAGAGTTACAATAAACAACATATTTTCTTATAAATTGCTTATTCTCTTCACTTCTTTTCAGCTTGACCACATCTAACATTTGAAATGGTCTATGATCTCTCACTCAAAAGCATATTTGTGTTTCGATAGTGTGCTCTTACTCCTACACCTCCTACAAAAGTCTTTGCTTGTTTGTTGAGGCTTTTTGACTCTGAGGCATCGATGTGCTTTCACCACAGGAAGTCCCTGGTGATTCTGAGCAGGAAGATCTCCTCACACCTGCAATCAGTCCTCATATGACGTACATGACATTTTTACTTGAAAGCTTTTCTTCAATTATTTTACAATTTTCAAAAGAAACTATTATTTGACGCAATATGAGTCGTAGGTCTTCTTTTCTGAAAGTCATTCTGAGCTCAACAACATCAAAACAAAGAAAGGTGCGTCTAGGTAAGGGGAAGTTCTTCATTTCGCTGTCACACATTTACGTGAGAAAGATTCTAAATTTGAAATTTTATCACAGAGAATTGATCTTTCTATCAAAAAACAAAGTGTCTTACAAAAACAACTCTGACGATCAGATCTGAGAAGCCACATCCTCCAAGCGATTAACAGATGGGATGATGGGTCCTTTCACAAAATAGGCCACAGATGGCACAAACTCCACAGCTTAATCAATCACAATGACCAATATGAAACTAAAAACACCTCACTGTAGCGTCACATGTCATTTTGAGAGCACACTGTTGTTGTTTCCAAAGTGTGTACTGGGAAGAGGTTTTGCAAAAGTAAGAGAGGCACACACACATTGGGAGAGAGAGAGAGAGAGAGAGAGAGAGAGAGAGAGAGAGAGAGAGAGAGAGAGAGTTACAACACAAAACAGGCAGACGATGCAGCGGTGGTAAAACACAAATGAAATGGCACATTAACTAGTCAATATGAAAATAAAAGAAACTATTATAAAACATTAAAAACTGGCAATTTAAAACGACTTTGATTATGGGATATAAGAGCAATCACATCGACCAATGGTTTCTTGTTCTCTGTCCTTAAGGATGTTTGTAGTCACATGTCATTTTGAGAGCACACTGTTGTCGTTTCAAAAGTGTGTACTGAGAAAAGGTTTTGCAAAAGTAAGAGGCACACACACATTAGCATAGAGAGAGAGAGACACAGAGAGAGAGAGAGAGAGAGAGAGAGAGAGAGAGAGAGAGAGAGAAAGAGAGGGAGGGAGAGAGAGATACACAGACAGAGAGAGAGAGAGAGCGAGAGAAAGAGAGGGAGAGAGAGAGGGAGAGAGAGCTAACAGGATATTTTGTCACTATGGTTACGGGCAGCAGATACGGATCTTGATTTCTGTGTGTCATGCCGCTCTCATTTAGGAAAGAGCGGTTGTAGTGTTGTCAGGACAGTCCTTATAATTATTGGGTGTCTTCTGGATCAATGTGACTTCATCATACCTGCCGTGAAATATATTCAATCTGTGAGGTAAGTTTACTTTTTCAAACTTTCTTTAGGGTCAAGTTGAATCATTCATGGTAACTTAAACTAACATTCAAAATGTGTGTAATTTACACACATAACTGTATCAGTTTGCAGTTTAGCTTGTAATCGATGTTGTTGAAAATGTGGTGTAATTCCACAAAAAGATATGCAAAAGTCTTAAATCTAATTACAAATCAAGTGTATAAACTATATTCTCTATCATTTAAATATAATAAATATTGAATTATGAGAAACTGTGGTCTTCTATGAGGCACATTTACTGTTCAAAATACCGCAATCAAACACAGTCACAACACCAACAGCTAGAAGTGAACCACATTCACAAAAGCTCAGGTGTAAAAAAGTATATTCTTGACATAAAACACTGATTGATTTGTCAAACTTCAAAACATAGATCAATTTGATTGTTTTCCGCAATACTCCTTGACTTTAGTTAATAAGCCAGGAAACGAGTGTCTTGCACCATGTGCTCGAGCAGATAGCCACAGTCTGAGCGGGTTATCATTTTTTGCTCCAACAATATGACTTTCCAAAATGCCTTCCATTCTCAGGCAGAGCACCCTGGGGAGCTGACTTCCTCATAGACAAGCCCATCTTTCAACACCCTTTTTTGTTTTTGTGTTTTTGCAGTGTAAGTGCGAGTGCTGCAGCTGTATTCAGTAATCACAGTTAAGTTATGGTATTGTTCCCAGACTTCCTTCATGTCACTTTTAGCTACACAAGGCATGACAAACCCCCAGCTATGTCCTGTGAGTCAATTACACGCATGACTGGCTGAATGGGCTAATTTGTAAGACAAGGACAGTTACTGTTTGTCTGAATCCTTTCTTGCCTTCTTCATGTGTAAACAGGACGGAAATGTACCCAAAATGTTCTCTTTCATGCTCTGTCTTCCTATAGTATGTCAAACCGCAAACGTATTGCCCAATCATTGCTAAATTCAACAATACGTTTAAAACAAAGTGCTTTACAGCATCAGTTGATCATCAAAACTAGAACAAACTATGTCTTATTTGAACTTTCAACTTTTGTTTTAAGAAATGTGAAGGCTTGATTCATGGTGATCAAAACTGAGGCAAAAGTGAAGTGTGGTGTCTGCTGGGCTTTGCTCCAAAAATAACCACAAGGTGGCAATACACACCACAGAAAGTAAACATTTCTATTTCAATGAAACTGTTTGCAACCTAAACCGTTAGATAATGGTTAAAGGAAGTCATTTTATCCGTGCTGTCATTATTTCTTCATTAAAGCCTTAATATATGAGGAAGTCATCAGAATTCCATAAAAAAACAGATATTTATTATTAGAGGCAGACATTTACAGATTATGTTTTCCTTTTACATTTTCTCTAATTAAACTGCCAAAAAGTGCCATGTTTAAAGAAAACTACTGTAATTAATAAAAAGTATTATATTTGTCATCCCTTTTGAACGGAAAGTCTTGCTATTGTTTTATTAAGCAAGAGTTGAATTTCAACCAAGGCATATACTCAGTGTATCATTGCTTTTTCACTTCTGACTTTGTTTACTCTTAATACACATTTACTGTAAAATAGGAAAAGAAAGGGAAATAAAAACCTGTCTTAAAATTTGGAATTTCTCTGTTTGCAGTTACTGGTTCCTTAAATATCAAGATGGGTTCTACAGCTGCCTCGGTGATATTTACGGTCCCAACCACCAACAACTCTAATAAAACGACTTGCAACACCCTCTACGCCCACCGGGACTACGCCAGGGTCCTCATGCCTCTTTTCTATGTCGTTGTGTTTGTTGTGGGGCTGCTTGGCAACTGCCTCGCCCTGCATGTCATCCGTCCCAATTTGAAGAAGATCAACTCCACCACCCTATACTCCCTCAACCTGGTCGTCTCGGACATCCTCTTCACCCTCTCTCTGCCTTTGAGGATTATCTACTACGCCATGGGCTTCCACTGGCCTTTGGGCGAGGCGCTGTGCAAGATCTCCGGAATCATCTTCTACATCAACACCTACGCCGGGGTCAACTTCATGACCTGTCTCAGTGTGGACCGGTTCATCGCTGTGGTCCTGCCTCTGCGTTTCGCACGACTCAGGAAGGTCAGTAATGTGCGCTACATCTGTGTTGGGGTGTGGCTGCTGGTCCTGGCACAGACCCTCCCCCTGGTGGGCATGCCTATGACCAACAAAGAACCTGATGGCTTCATCACCTGTATGGAATACCCCAACTTTGAGAAGGTCGACCACATCGCAACTATCCTGCTTGGTGCTGTCTTCCTTGGTTTTGTCCTGCCTGTGTCGACCATTCTCATATGTTACTCTGTGTTGTGCTCCAAACTCCACTTTTCAGCCAAGTCCAACCATTTGACGGGAAAGTCTGGCCGGAGCCAAAAGGCCATTGGTGTGATCTGCTGCGTTTCCATAGTGTTTATTATTTGTTACAGCCCCTACCACATCGACATCCTGCAGTACATGATCCGCAAACTAGTGTCTAGCCCTGATTGCGCCGATCTCACAGCCTTTCAGATATCGCTGCACATCACTGTGTGTCTGATGAACCTCAACTCCTGTTTAGACCCGTTTATCTACTTCTTTGCCTGTAAGGGCTACAAGAGGAAACTTCGTAAGCTGCTGAGGCTTCAGGTAAGCATGTCCTTCTCCAGTGCAGTGAGGACGTCGCCTGAAGGCTCCTCCAAGGACATTGTTGAGGGCAACAAGATCCCACTCAACAGCTCTATAGTAGGTTCAACCAGTGAAAGACTCACAGAGAGGAGATTCCGCCGGGAAGAGTAAACGAGAAAACTGTCACCAGTTACTCAAGATGAAAGGACTGTTTACGCCTGCTTTAATCCAAACCAGTCTAATAGAGTTTGAACATTGAAATGGACTGCCTTCAGGGATGAGACTTGTTTGCATCAGAAAAGGCTTATAAAGGAACATGGACCAAATGAATCAACATTTTTTGAACGGAAATTCATCACTTCCTGTATTTGTGAGTTTGTCAGAAAAGCAAAGATAACAAACTGCAGCTAAGGAAATATTTAAATAAAGCATGCTTCTCTCCTGCCCGTAGACTGGGGGTTCATGAGGAAGAACATGTTCGGAAGTGGACAGTCGATCCGATACAGTCATAGCCTTATTCAAATGTCTATTGACTGACAAATGTTGTCAAAGCTAGCCTCATGTACGGTATGTGAAGAGTAAAGCAGGATACTCATCTGAAAATTACTTTTTGAAAGAAAGTAATATTTGTAACCGGAAAGTGACCTCACATCCTCATTGTGTTACTTTAATGAACTGAGATGTAAAGGTAGAAGTAGTTTTCATTCCCAAATGAAATCAAAATCTCAGTTCATTTGCCTCAAGCTTCATTTCTGCAAATTATTGTAATGTCTCAGGAAACGATACACTGTGCAGTTGTCTCGCAAAGGAATGTATATGTATTGGTTCGAAAAGCACCACATATTTTTCAGTTGTAACATGACCACAGTTGTCCTTGTGGTTAAAGTGTGTGTATTGTCATTTAATTCAAATGGGCCCTGTAAGGTTTTGCTTCTACAGAAGATGTGTTTACTTCCAGTGTATTCCCTATAATGCAATGTGTGTTTCATTTAGGTCTAACAAATGTTTTGAGTGCATTTCATTTCACATTAAACATTTGCAAAGCCATTTTTTCTGTATTCTCAATCCAACATTGTTTACAATCAGCTGCACTTTGTTGAGAAGGAACCTGCTTGTCTTTGTTTGATCTGATGTAACTCCTGTCTTACGTGTATAGGACGAAATATTTTTTAGTCATATCATTGATTAAGAAGACTGTTGACTGTTCCCATCATTCACTGAAAGGGCCATGTCATGAGATCTGATGGGTCAACCTGGGTTTGGTTGTGAAGGGAGTTCCTCAAGCATCCATTTTGGAGAACTTAATTTAATCTCAACTCTACTGTCATTCATGTAGATGCCACCAGTATTAACATTTGTGTAACATGGCAGCTTTGAGTTAAAAAGATAACTTATATGTCTAACTTTAAGTCATACAAACTCTTGTTTGAAACCTACTATGCTATGCAAAGCCTAGAAACAGTAGAAACAAAGTAATTGTCCAAAGACAACCTGAGATAGGATGTTTCTGCCGACAACAATTGCTTATTTCTCTATTCAATACAACTGGGCGACTAGAGTATGGACTATGGACAATCTGCTGTTATGGTTAGGCGGTAGACCATGTTGATGGCACACATCTATGGTTCGGGTTAGGATACTATAAAACAGTTGGTTTGTGGTTGACAGCAGTATGTGGTAATGTTTTTATTGAAGCACAAATTATGTGTTACAAGTTGTCTCAACAGCCCAACTACACTACTTACACATTATGCAAAGGCTACACTGCTTCCTGTAGTGTTACTGAAGTGTATCGCGAGATATAAATAATGCACTTCAGTCATCCAATGAATAAGAGTATGACTACAATTCACGCAGAAAATGCGTGTTGGTGTAGCATAGCAACGTAATTACAGTACCAACAGTTTATAGGGTGCTTAATAAGTTGTGTCAAGGTACTGTGTATATAAGTAACACTTAGAGATACATACAGTATGTTTAAGTGTTTCTACCTACAGTCTACTTTCGGATTCATATTTGTTTCCCTCTGTCTTTCGATGTGGGTGCATATAGTTATTATTCTTAGATTTTGCCTGAATAGATTATATAGTTCTCTATGGTTGAATTATATTGATGCTTTTAATACTTTGTATGTTAAATTAGTACTTTGGAAGAGGTTAGTCTTAGCTATTTAATTTTAAAGACTACTTTCGTGGATGATCACACTCAATTCGAAATAGAAACTTTATTCATCACAACCTTCATGTCTTCATGTGTGATCACGTGTGGTGCTTTCGGAAGGCCTCGACAGCAGATGGCACGGAAACAAGTCACAGGGGACAAAACAAGGAGCACTGGAGAAAAGTGCATTTCATCATGTTGACGGCACAACTACATCAGTCGGACCAGTCACTGCCAAGGCTCCAACAAAATCACTGATCCAAATGTGTTTATAATGAACTAAATAGAATACAGTTCTTCGTGTTTGTAAAAGTTGAAATTTAAATAATTCGTCCTAATGTCGATTTTCTCTCATAACAATGTCATGGCAAGAGGGTTTTTACTCAAATGTAGTTCTCAATTCCAGGAGCAGCTAAACAAAAATATAGGCTTTAATATGCATTTCTTCATTTTACTTTACAGAAATGTGTCCCTTGCTGATAGTCTATCCACTTGTTTTGCAATGAGCACTGTATTTCACACATATAATTGCCATCTGCTTCATGGCTCCCTTTTCTTCTATCGCCTGAATTCTTTCGGGGATTAAAGGGATGGGCTGGAAGCACCAGATCATTTACAGTTACACAATTAAATGTATCTAAAGATCTGAAACATCGAAGGTAAAGATTGTGAAGTGAAGTTTTGATACCACTCTGCATTTATTTTGACTTAGTAAAGTCCTTCCTCCCTTAAAATTCACTTTTTCAGATTTGTACTTCTGTCAGTTTGACGTCAGGGAACATTTCTCTGCTCACCTTAAAAAATATCTTAAGATGCTTTAATAGTTGATTATTACTGTATGTATCTTACGTAAATGTGATGTGTGAAACTAGCTTTCAGCGAACATATATTGAGAATTGACTTGTCAGGGAAATAGGAGATGTCTTGTGTCCATTTTCTTTTATTAACTGTTGGGGAAATATTTTCCAAGGCCCATAACTTTGACCCAGTTTATCAGTTCAAACTGTCCTGACTGAGCACAGGCACCGGTACCTTGGATGCTGTGCTCCTCAGTGTCTGTCTCGACCTGTTCCTGCCTGTTGGCGTCAGCTGATAGAGGTTATCATCTATCTTTGTTCTGCAGCATGTAATTATTCCGCTCTGAACTAGCTAAAATACACTAGGTCTGGGGTAAGTTCTTCAGATTGACGTGGCAACTCTACGTGAAGTCAGAATCTGACTCTTGTGACTTGGTTTTGGGAATCCTCCGGCCGAAGCTCCTAAATAAACCATCAGTGTTTGCCATCAAAGCTCCAGCTCTCCCCGTGTCTCCTTCCTGAGTCGGTGACTCCCAATGCATTGCTACACAGAAGTTTCTCCCACATTAACAATAGTCAATTTTGAGGGAGAAGAAGTAGAAGTATTTCTTACTTAAGCATTTTTTGTAGAAATGCCATATCACACACACACATACTATTCTTCAAAGAAAAGTATTTTGTTATCTCTTGAAAAAATGTCCTTAAGAGTCTTAAACTTCCCTTAGCAACTCAGTCATGGACAGAAAGAAAAAGACAAGATTGGTATTGTTGTTGAAAAGGAGACATACTGTAACAGGAAAACAAAAATGTGATAGGATAACATTTAAACATTTCAGACTATAAAACAGAAAAGGGATTTTTAAATTTCAAGTACGAATTTGGATTCTGCAAAATCCCCTTCTGGATGATTGCTACAATTGAAATATTATCTAATACGTTATATTATAGAAGCTTATTTTAGTTGCGTGAAAAACAGATTATTTTTAGACACAATCAATGATTAGGCACAGACACGTAAAACCCTGAAGTCTGACAGTTGTGTAGTGATTTGTGTTGGCCTCTAGAGGGCAGTGTGAATCAGGGTAAAGCAGTGACAGCTAAGGAAGTTGAACAGGAACTCACAGGCACCTTATGCCAAATCCAAATATTGGCAGGTGTAACAAGGGTTCATCTTTGTTTGTTTGATAAACAAGAATGGCAGAGTAATACAATGATTTAGGGGAAGTACAACAAAAGCGAAGATACATTCCTGTAAGACAAATGCACGTACTAATTTATGTACTGTGAAAAAGGTGAGTAATAAAGGCCAATGATTTATAATGTACTGTTTACAGAGGCAACCAGATGACAAATATCAAAGAGAGGAAAACATCACACAGACTGTTGTCATAACAACATATTGCAATGAACACAAAGTACCATCTGCTATGAGATTGTTAAGACACATCGAGAGGACAAGCCGATAGATCATTATTTCCAGCGAATAGGAATTAGGCTGAATGAGCAGATTTCATATTATCAAAAATAATGTAGTGGATGTGGAAAGAAGTTCAGCAACAAACTGCATCATTCAAATACAATGTGTGACAAATAGATATAACCTTTTGTGGAAGGCTCGCGTAGGGCAGTCAAATGAAACGAAGGAGGAAATGATCTAAATCGTGGGATTGTGTGGTTTACTCTTTGTTTCATACACGAATGGAAAGTACCAGTTAGGAGATAAGGGGAAGAAGTTTTCATTGCACAACGTTCTTTGAGCCAAATGTCCTAATTCCTAGTTGTTACCAGCTCACACACACATTAATCACACACATGAATCTGTATTCAATCCAGGTCCAGACTGACCTTGAGCTTTTCACCTGAGGTATGCGCTTTGCATCCATTAAGTCGACGTGGTGTAAAACCATCTCACAGCATCAGCGTGAAGTGTCTATTACCACCGTCTTATTTCCTGTTTATATGGCAACTGCCTCAACATCCTGTTTTTAATTACTTCTCTCCAGCAGCAGATGCTTCTCACAGCAACCTGCTGTGGATTACTCCCCTGAGAACTAATGTGCTGTGACAGACCCCACTTTTCCAATCAATAACTCGCCCTAAATCTGCCATCTCTCTGCCTGCCAAACACACTCCCACTTCTAATGGCACATCATTTTCTTTAAGGGGGTGTAATTGCAGACTGTGGAAAGCAGTAGCCCTTTGTGTTCCAACCACGCAGATACTGTAAAGGAATCTAAAGTACAGAAACTACAGCACACAGGAAGTGATGGGGGGCTTTACACTGTGCTCAGTCTCACCACCATTTCCATCACATTACCCTTTGAGAAAGCATTCACTTCCCTGTTTTGGCTGAGTGCTCAGATAAATCGCTGTGCCGCTTCATAAACCTGTTGGCGCAAGCTTGTCAAGATGTTTGTTTGATTTCTGCGGTAAGTGCAGTCTTTTATTGTTCAGGCAAGGCTACCTGATCTGTTTGACCTTTAAGATGGACACACATGTTTGACAGTCACTTTCTGTTTGTGTGTGCGAGTGCTTTGGTGCTGAGTAAAGCGACAAACATATTTGAATTACCGGTACTCTATTTGTTTTATTCATGTCTTAATAAGTTTCCTTATTTAAAACGATATCACACAATTCGCAGATAGATAAAGTACGGTAAACAATGGTTAACTGTACACATTTCAAATCAAGAAACAGTATTTACTTTCACTTCCACATTGTCCCCCTGAACACAGATTATAGTACATCAATTCTTTATACAGTATAATGTGTATTTAGTTATTTATTGGCTTTAAATATTTGTTTCTCTATTCATTTTTTTATTAACCACACATCTAGACATAGACGGTCTGTTTCTCTTCCTCTCTCTCGCAGTTCAGCTGCTCAGCTTTTAATAAATACGTATTTAAATGATCAAGCGTCATGTTGTGTAAAACACAATAATGTATAGCACTTATTCCATTCTTGTGTATTCACATATTTATTTGGTTTATGTGTTAGTTTATTCATATATTTTTTAATTAACCACACATCTAGACATACATGGTCTGTTTCTCTTCCTTTCTCTTTCAAAATGCAGCTGTACAGCTTCTAAAAATAAGTATTTACAGTAAATGATCAAGCAGCAGGTTCTACAAGCTGTAAAACCCAGATCTGTACAGAAGCCCCCTCTGGCTAACTCAGCTGCAGTTTCTTCCAGAAACATAATTTTTTCACACGTTTTTTCTCTCATATAGATTGTTTCCCTGTACTCATGTTGAAAGGAAAATCACTCTTTTATGGAATTTGTTGGTTGTTTTTTTCATAGATTTCCAACTCAAGTGGACTTGTGACTTCTACAATATGTTCAAAAGTAAGTTGCACTACTTGTCCGTCTGATCTTTTTAAACTAGGTGTATTACTTTATGTAAAGGCACCACGTATAGCCAATATATCACTTTTACCTCCTGAAGACCTCGCTAGAAGCACATGACCTTTCAACAGAAGTGAATTAACAGGACTTCAGCTCCAATCATGAAAACAAATTGGCTTTAAAGAGCAAAAAAATATGATGAATGGATTACTCAATAGAAATAAACACCAATTTACTGCTGTTTTGTGCAAGTTTCAGGATGGAGCTGGATCTAAACTCCTCCAACATGTCCGTGGAGTCTGTTCGGCCGGAGCAGGGACCGGTGGAGTACCGCATGGCAGGCCTAGTCTTCTACTGCATCGTCTTTATCGTAGGATTCATAGTGAATATCACTGCTTTATGGGTGTTTTCTCTCACCACCAAGAAGAAGACCTCTGTCACTGTCTACATGATAAACGTGGCGCTGGTGGACCTCACCTTCATCCTGCTGCTACCCTTCAGAATAGTCTACCACTATTTCGACTATTGGCCCTTTGGAGACGTTTTCTGCAGAATCAGTGCCGCTCTGACCATCTTCTACCCCTGCATGGCTCTGTGGCTCTTTGCTCTGATCAGTGCTGACCGCTACATGGCCATTATTCAGCCGAAGCACAGCAAAGAGCTGAGGAACATCCCAAAGGCCGTGGTGGGGAGTCTTGGGGTGTGGCTCATGACTCTGGGCAGCACCGTCCCCCTGATCTTCTCTGAGGACGATCCAGACAGCGTCTCCAACTACACCACCTGCATCAAAATGCAAGACATCATCTACATGCGCCGCGACAACCCCGTCAACTTCGTACGACTCCTGTTCTTCTTCCTTGTTCCCATATGTATAATGATTGTCTGCTATATTGTCATTGTGGATAATCTGAAGCACGGCCGCACCTCTAAACTCAAACCTAAAGTCAAGCAGAAGTCAATCCGGATTATCATCACACTCATTGTCCAAGTGTTGGTGTGTTTTGTGCCCTTCCATGTGTGTTTGGTGGTCCGCTTAGTGGGGACGGGCGAAGATGGCGGGTTTAGCACATGGGCTGTCTTCACCACATTCCTGATGAACATGAGCACAGTGTTAGACATCATTTTGTTCTACATTGTCTCCAAGCAGTTCCAGGACAGGGTGATCAGCGTGATTCTGTACAGGAACTATCTGCGGAGTGTGAGACGGAAAAGCAGGCACACGGGCAGCGTCCGATCAATGAGCAACTTGACCAGCGCAATGATTTGACGCGAGCATCACACTTTCATGTCAAAAAACAAACTGTTATCTACTGTGCTTGCTTTGGCGCAATGTAACACTGAATGCTTCAATCTGTACATAGTTCATTATCGAGAGGATCAGAACTTGCAATTAATTTCCAAAGTGTAATTTACACTCACAGTATGGGAGCGAGTGCTGCTGTTGTGGCAAAAAACATCTGTGTTCAGAGCTGATTGACTCACCCATGAGACGTTTTTTTTTGTGAATCTTTGCTCTAGCAGACAAAGCACGAGTGTCTGTGGCTCAGGTGTTATACATGCAGGTGAAAATAAAGATCATAATCATTCAAACATAGCCCACAGTATCACAGTGTTTGCTTTGTTATTTTTGCATCAACTATTCTTCTCAGCCATGTGAATCAAGAACTATGAATGACCTGACTGCCTCCACGGGGGGAAACTAACAGGAAACAATAGTGGGTTGTTAAAGGTTGCTGCTTTTTGTTTGTGGTGGCTGCACCATTTTTGGAACATTGCCTCTCAGTGTTGCACCGTGGTTTAAATATAACCCTCAATTCAAATACGTTTCCTTAACCAGCGTGACTTCATTGTTTCATATTGGTGGAGTCTGAGTTACCATTTGATACAAGACATCGTTTTAACACAAACCACAATCGTCCTGGAAGGTGCTGTTAATATATCGACCAGGTGAGGGCAGCATGGCACAGCTAGACCCTATCTGCCTGAAAGAGAAGGAAACACTGCTTTCTTTACTTTTAAATTGAAAAGTGTAAGGTTCTTGATTCTCTGCTATAGAGTTATTTATACTTGTAAAGATATCTTTGAACTTGAACTGTTTTGTATCTGTATTTTGTTAAATCTCAATTGGCTTTATAAAATAACCATTCCACTTCATCAGAAGAGAAGTTGTTAACTCGTAACAGCTTCCTCAACCGGGAGTCAGACTAAAGTGTGTTTATGGCGCAATAGGAATCGTATTGATTAGATGTTAAATGATTCAGCCACTTGAAGTGCATGTAACAGTAACATCCTCACGAGATGTCAGCTAGGCTATTTAGCAGATTTAAAGCAACCTTAACCTTAAAAAGAGAACATATTTTCTGCATATAGAGTCTTTATGTCAGGTCTCTGCTGTAAGCAAAACGATGTAGAACATGCATTGTGTCCACGATGTATACCTAAAATGACGGAAAAGTGAAGATTTAAAAAGGTACTAAATGTGTGACGGTTCTATCTCTATGGAAAGACTGTATAATTTAAATGAAGGAAACACTCATCTTGAGCAAGATGGTTTGATAGGTGTCCTGCACAAACAGCAAATCATTGATTTGGTGTTGCCAATTGTTAGAATAATCTAGTTAGTGTGTGTGTCACACCAACACAGCCCTAACTGGATTAGACAGTGAGTCAGTGTGGCTGAGTAACTATGTAGTGTCTCATACAATTAGACAGTCTGGGCGTCCTGCGGTGTGACCACATGTACCATAGCATAGTAGTGTATTGCTGATCGATTGCCAACAAACTAAATACATTGTGATATACTGTCAAATTGAGATTGTATTTTCTTTTTCAAGCCCCGTTTAATTTAGGTAAGTAAATATAATACGGTGGTAAGCGAAAAAACTGCACTCAAGAGTCCATGTGGTGCTCGGTTGGTTTGTACAGTGGGATAAAGATGGACTAGATTTACACTGTGCTTAACAAGAGGAGGCAGGTTACAAGATTTCCATCTCACATGGAATTCTGGGAACTGCAGTTCATCACATGATGATAGGTTTATTGGCCGGCGGACTACAAGTGAATTTATAACCAAGAGGTCAAAGGTCAAATGAAACATCAGAGGGTCGTCTATCTGTCCCACCTGTTAGACATCAAAGGAAAACCAGTCACGCTGCTCACAGCAACTGGCATTTAAAACAATTAAGTTTCCTGTCAAGTCCCTGTGATGAATTATCCGGAAGCTTTACCCGCTGTAATTCTAAATCTTCCCAACAAGTGCCTTTGTTGTAGAGAAATTAATGAAAACAAGATTGTCTTTCATAGGAGCTGATCTAACAGCGCGACAGCCAGCTGCTCTTCTTTGGGAATAAAAACAGTCAGCATTAAACACAGCTCGCACAATATACTTTTTTTTTCTTCTACCACTCGTGTGGAAAACAAATCAGGCGGCGAGCGCAGTGGCCATCTGTTTTGTTATTTGATATGTGTGAATACATGTTGTAATGACTTTGTTTGTGAATCACTCTGCGCGGCAGAACACACGAGAGCTCTCGAAGTGCTGGAGTGTTCAAAGCTAATCATATAATTGGACACAATAGTCGATGACAAATGGAGACGCTTGGAGCCAGCCAGCTGGGGAAGTGAATATGTAATCATTGTAAAATCATATCATTTTTGCATATTTGAAGACAGCTTAATAGAGTTTGCATGTCAGCACACCATCAAATGATGATCAGAGACAGTGTTGCTGTATTTGTTTTTCTTTAGAGTGCTTGGTTGAATTACTTATCTTTGTTACAATTAAAGTGTTGCACAAGAGTTTGTGTCTTACAAGTTTGTTTTTGTTCAATGCCATTTTGAATGTTGGAACAGATTTCGGACAAATGACCTCTGTGAATATAAAAAAAGAAATATGGTACATCAGTGAACTGCCTTCACCAGGGGTAATTCTGCGCTTTGCCAGGAGCTATGTGTAAATACTGTTTTGAAAGAATGGGAATGCAGGTAATATTGTACCTGAACAGCACACGATTTTCTACCGACAGTACTCGAAACCTTGTTAGCAAACAAAGTCGTAAAGGTTAGCTCAAGTGAATGGATACATGGGTGGAATAACATCTAAAAGTGGTTAAAATATTAGGCGCAAACAATGTAATAGTTTGTTAAAGTATTGGATAATTTGTTGAAATGTCCAACTGATGCCACCACAAGTTCTGGTACAACAAATTCAATCTTGACCAAACCAACCTAAACATTAAAAGGAACATGTTATTAGTTAAATCATTATAAAAATATCATGTTATAGAATTAATAGTCTTAATTAAAATCCAACTTCAAAGCAATTAAAACGAACATTTCTTTAACATGATTGATGGTGCTAATGGAGTTAGAGTAAAGGCCTGTGGGGGTGCGTCAGAGAAAAAAGGTTTTAGAAGCCTATTTATAACATATCAGAAATGGTTCAAAGCCATCATAATATCTGCATATAATCTCATTTAGCACGTACTTTTTACTTGCTGTGTTGTTGTTTTTGACAAAACAGAATATGTTGCAGTTTGGTTTTGAAGCACTGGAACGTTCACTTTTACTATATCATTAGTCTTCATATTGTTTCCATTAGAGAGCGAGAGGACATGAAAGAGAGCCCATAACGTTATATAGATACTGTACACATCCACAGCCTCGCCTGGGCCTCCTCGTCTACTGTACGGCATTAGCAGCAAGCAGCTGCCTGCGTTTACATCATTTAGCGTTTCTCTCAGGGCACTTTAATACACTGAACCTCTCCCCTGGTAAACTTTACAATAGGATGTAGAAGGATACTTCTAGACTGCCATAGGAAATGAGAGGCACATGTGTGTGGATGTAGCGGTGCAACAGTGGGTTCCCCCCTGTGATGCTGAGCTTAAGGGCGGCGCAATAAGACTAATGGATTCCTTTCGCGGACAAAACTAGGTTAAGCACATGAGCTATTGTCCTTATCACCGCACAACGAAAACTTGAACAGTAGGAACGGTGTGAGGTATTCAATTTCATTCTGTACACAGGATGGCTCTGCAGTAATCTTTTCCTTTGGCAATGGCAATCTACTCCTGGATTGTCTTTAGTCTCCATTAAAAGGAGATAATCTACTGCAAGAGTTTCAAATGCTGCTAAACTGACTCCAATTGACCCTGCCGTTAGCAGAGAACAGAAGAAGAGGAAATGTTTGGCCTTGATTACAGCTGTGTGTCTATTTTAGCAGATTGTTCTGTTGCTGATTCACAAACAGACAGCCACCATTAGCACGTATAAATAATGTAAGGCCCTCATCTCTCTCTGTTTTTTTTCCAACTCTCTACTCAGCTAAGTGCCTGCATGGAAACCTTGGCCTCCTCCTTGTCAGGTTCTCCATAGATTAGTATACGATTTATTTTAAGTCTGTACAAAGAAGCATGTTCTTGACAAGTGTTCCGTTCAATGCATGTGGGAATGTTTTTAATTGTATCATGTGAAGTGGAATAGGAGCTCCGGTGGGGACTGTGTCAGATTGTGTTAATATTTAATCCGGTCTCACTTCAGTTTCCTCATGATCCATGGTATCGTAAGAGCAGAATAGGAAAGCAACATTACGGGATGGATAAAGAGACACGAGTTAAGACATTGTAGCTCCAGGACGCTGTCTCAGTCAGGATGCAGCGTTGTGAAAAGCTTGTGAAGACACCATTACAAGACTCTTCTCCGCCGAGGCCTGGGCCATTGTGCCCCGAACAGGGAGTGATATTACGAGGGCTAATGCTAATGCACTCACTTCAGCTGATGTGCATCTAAAGAGAGCCGACAGACAAATTGAATGTAAAAGCAGGTAGAGAGGAAGCGTTGTGTGTGTGTGTATGTGTGTGTGTGTGTGTGTGTGTGTGTGTGTGTGTGTGTGTGTGTGTGTGTGTGTGTGTGTGTGTGTGTGTGTGTGTCTGTCTGCAGGGCTCAGATCCATGTTGTTTGGTTTGTTTCTCCATTAAGAGAGCTGTAAAGGAGAGGGAACAGATGGCTGCTGGCCCGCTCTGTCCTGCATCCTCTCACAACTGCCACACTTCCTGTGCGTCCATTAATCTTCTCTCACTACTCCTGCAGCACAACTTTATTAAAACAACTCAGGAGAGAGCGAACAACAAGCCTGCGCAGCTGTCAGGAGCAAAAGACAGAACCATTCGTCCACAGAAGAACGGCCTCGGATTTCTAGACGCATCTGTAAAACAGCTCGAGTAGAAGCTGCTTGGCTTTGAAGCAGGCTCTGCAAAGCGCTCGCTGCAGTGGAGACACAATAAATGCTCATTACAACGCAGCTGGAACTGCTGTTGTTGCGTAGTTCATAGGCATAGTTTGTCAAACTTAAACATGTGAGGCCCTTGCTCCCTGTCTGGGAAGGACTACTGTTTCCTTCTGCTCTGAGAACATGTGGGAAATCCTCTGTAATAGTAAAGCTTTGCCTGAGTGATGAAAACCTCATAAAAACTAAATCTACAAATCTAATAAACAAACTGCTAAGATTATCACTTCTAAATGTGGTGTTTGTTTGTTTTAAAAAGACAATAAAATGGTTCTCTTAGCTAATTAGTGTTGACACGTTGAAGGGAA